CACATTTTGTAAGGTCTGTGTAGACTTTGCCTAAGGTATTACAGTTCCTTTATACGGGCTACGATCGGCATTACTACTATCTAGCTAGCTACTACTACTAGTTTGTATCATGGGTTATTGGTATTGCGACTACTGTAAAGCTTGGTTTGAAAGCAAGAGGGCACATAAGTGCTCACACCAACCAATCTCGGAGTTGCATTGCAGCAAGGCAGATTTCACTTGGCATTGCAAAGCAACAAGAAGTACTAGTACTAGGAGAAAAAGGGACATGACTACTGCAGGGCTTGGTGCCACTGACACTGGAAGACCCGCTAAAGCACCACGGCAAGTTAGAAGATTTGCAGGAGAGGAGAGAGGCACATCAAGTCAAATGCCAGCCATTCCACAAGACATGGTGGAGGAAGATCAAATTGCTTGGGCCATGCAAGATGGTGGTGGTATTGGTTCTGAAAGCGAGAAGACAATAGAAAACCAGCAGCTGACCCGCGGTTTGGTACCCGAGATGACGGCAATGAGGAAGCAAAAGAGGAGGCAGATGAGGAAGCCATAGAGAACTGATGAGGAAGGAAGTGACGACGATTCGCAAGAAGACACAGATGATGATGATAGTAATGAAGATGATATGAGACCAGCAGTGGTGGATCAACAGCTACCCTGGTACAAATTCCCAAGGAATGGAACCATGACAATGAACCTCCAGACGATAGGAACATCAACCAATTCCGGCATATTGTGCAGATTCAAAGAAGACGTTCCTCCCCTTGGATAAGAAACAGGCTCGGGGTGTAAAATTGATGGATATCCTTCGAAAGAACAAGGCGCCCTTTAACAAACACCATCCAAATCCGGGAGCAATGACGTCACCAATCGCCTAGGGACGCATGTCGTTCGGTACCTTCCAGACCTCGCTGTTTTCGCGAGACCCCATTATGCGCTTCTTAGATGTGTCCACTCCGTATATGATCTACAGCACGGCCTTGAGATGGACGTTTGGAGGACACACGTTGAAGAGGCACTGTCCTTTATGGATGAGTTTCTACAGAAGGAATACGTGGGCATAACAGATGCAGACAAAGCCTTTGCAGCCAAGTGGGAAAAGGTTAAGACGTTCTATCAGTTTCCTCCCTTGGACGCTGACGCAAGAAAGAAACTGGGACATAGAATGCAAGCACCAGTTCTCACAAGGTGGTGGAGTGTCGGTGACTGCAGCCGTTTTGTGTTACAGTGCTACCTTTTTGTGGTTCGCCTTTGTCAAGGCATCGTCAACGTTCATGGTACCGACAAGACTGGAAAGATTGCGTCAGGTCTACAGCCCTTGCTTTGTGAGCCACTCCTCTTCTCAGATTTGAATATCATTGTGGAGTTCCACACTGCCTACCTCTGTCCTCACTTCGATTGGATGCAGAAGACTGATGATCTATCCAATCTCATTGGATTCCAAACACACAACAGTCCTGGGCGCTACTTCTTGATTGTGCAAGACCTCGAGGAGATGAGAGACAAGGCGCTGACCAACCATCCAGGCTTCTCAGGTTTTCGTGCATCGTTGAATAAGTTGTCGGCAAGAGAAAGGCCTGAGCAAGAAAAGAAGATCACCTGCTTTCTTGAAGACAGTTTGGCGATGGCACACAAACACTTCAACCGATCCTGCTGCAAGAAACTCCTTCCAGCCGGATTGCTGGCAGAGGAACCACTGGCAACTGTCATTGCAAACGTCATGGTTGGAAATGACATGACTGTCTTTGAGCCAGAACTCTTTGTGTCTGATGTACACGAGAGGACGTTCAGCATGAAGGGGTTCCATTCCTTCCTGAAACAAGCAGTGCAAACTGCGGCAGCTACCTTGCGAGCACAGGACTATCCACCACTTGGACTACATGCAGCTGAGTTGCTACTTAGTGGATTGGACTATCGAGATGACGACATGGGTAATGCTGTGAAACAGTACGTCCTTACAACTTATCTACCCCTTGCTTCTCACACACACTTCGTTGAAGCAGGTGTCAAGGAAGCAAAGAATTGTTCTTCCACTGACCGGTCAGAGCCTTTGAGAAGTGCATATGCCATCAACCGATCAGCCAACGTCCATTCTATTGGCAAACTGAGGGACCTCACGTCAAATGAGCGAATTCGTTTATTGTTGAAGAGTGCCGAGACACATTGTGACATTGTCAAGCAAGATGTCTTACCGGAGGCAGAGTACAAGCTGGTGTTACGTCAACTGGAAAGGACACTCAAAGAGGAACACTTCCAGAAGGATTGCATTGCCCAAGTCCAACAGAATATCCGTGACAATTCCGGCAAGAACAGGAAAGAAAACCAGAGGCAACTAGATACCGGTGTCCACAAAACACTCGCAGTACAGAACAAAATCCGAATGGCCGACCTTCGAGCCAAAGCACACAGCCAAGATCTTCTTGTTGAATTGGTCTTCCGACTTGGACCTGACCACACAGAAGAGATCACTGCAATGAATTTTGTCACCAGGAGGAAGAAACTCAGAGAACTCGAGTGCGAACGCATCAAGATGATAGCCAACAGTGAAAATTGGGAGGAGAAGGAGCGAAAAGCTGCAATGGCAGTTGCAGAAAAGGGCTTCGACAAACTCTCTTCTGCTCCCTTTTTGTTCCAACAAACCTAGTGCATCCTCCGCAATAGGGTTTCCAGTCCTCTTCCACTATGGTTGCCTATGGCGAGGAGCCATCTGAGGTGCCTCCACAGCTGAAATTCCACATTTTGGGTAAGCGGCGGCAACTCCAAATGGTGCTCAAACTGCTTTGTTCATGCTAATCACTACTATCTTTCCTAAAACAAACCAGGTGCGATTGACAGCAACCATGACGCGGAGTTACAACTGTATGGTGGTCCTTACAACAGTTAACAATTTACATAGCCAACTGTTGCCACAACCGGCATCTTGTCATGGTGATGCTTTGCTTGTTCAGTTTGTTCTTGGCTGCGGCCGTTGTTTTCTGGCCATCAGAATTTGTACCAGACGCACGCAAAACGCGCGTAGTGGATTTCTGAGTACCAGAAAATAGCTCATCCTACGGGACCTGGGTGTCATAGAGTCGTGATGAGGTTTTGCCGTTGATATGTATAATAGGCCGTGTACCTGGGTGTCCAAGAAAATAATAAAAGTCAAAGGAAGTCAGGCAAGCGGAAATTTTGCCGGGTCAATCCAGATCCGCTGCCGGTACTAGTATCGGTACCAGGGGGGTCCGACATTTTTCACTCAGGATTATTAATTAATAATAAATTTTATAAAACAATTGAAATTTCGCATGACTGAAACCGTTTGAATCAACCTCTTAACTTACCTCAAATCTTCAACAATCCTTTTTAAAACAAACAAAAGGTTTATGCCTTCCAAACAGTCCTTTAAGCCTATAGAGACATCCCAGAAACAGCATTTAACAAACAATCCCTGAAAAACATATTCATAAGAGCATTCAATACCGGGGTCACCCATAGCACAAAACCCAAATGGTCGGTGGCTTGACATACTCGCAGCAAGGCTATGCTTGCTCGCGAAAGAGAACCTCAACGATCGTATTGTGATGTTAGAATGATGTCATTGATGATGTGGCAATTCTTCTCCTTAAGTAAATTTGAATCCAATGAGTCAAATGGGTTTGGGTCGGCAGTTGAGGCTACCCAAACAGTGCCAATTTGCGTTGGAGCTTACTCAACCCAATCGCTCAAATCGCATTTGACTCACTGGACTCAGGTCGGCCGGCGATACTCGATGCCAACCATTTGGGTTTTGTGCTATGGGTGACCCCGGTATTGAATGGTCTAAGTCCTACTCGAGTATGAGTTTTGCTTTTTGAAGGATTATACGCACTTTCGACACAGCCACAATGGAAGGGTTATCCAAATATGACGTTCCGATCGCTTCTAGCTAGAGTACGTGTACCTCTTCTAAAGGCCAACCGAGAGCAACTTGTTTGGTGCTGAAAGATTGTCTGGGTCATGCTGGAGCCCATCTGCGATACAGTAGGAGGTTGTCCATGTCCCTCCACCCACACTAAGTCTTTCCGTCGGCGGCAGCAGCTGCTGCGGCAGCCCATTTCGCCTGCTACCGGTACGACTTCCAGTATGGACGACCGTCGACCGACAGTCTTGTTGTTGTTGTTAATAGCGGTAGCTGGCGACTTGCTATTCGATCGATCGCTACTTCTTGTTGATACCGGGAGCAGAAAGGAAAGGATACTGCGGAGTGATCGTTCAAGCCTACACGAAGAGTGTCAACCGGAAGTCAACAAGGCGAATTACCGGCGAGTTTCCACGACGACAAGAGACCACAAAAGGAGCTACCATGAAGCAACGATACCGAAAGTGTCATTTGAGTACCAAGGCCTCGAAGAGTTCCAGGCCATCAGGAAACTCCGGAATGAGGCAGAGCAGCCAAATTTTGCAACAACGAAGCGATCGATCGAACGACACTGCCTTACCCGCTACCACTGTAACAACAACATCGGCTACCACTACTTGTATTATCAACAACCCATTTCGGTCGTCCATATCATCGGTCGTCCATACCGATAGCGGCAACCGTCGGCAACAACAGTGCCGACACGAAGAAAATAGTTGATTCGATTTGGCAAAGATCGACAGTGTCTACAACGAGGCTACAATACGGCACCGAAATGTGTCCTTTGAATTACAGAGAAACAGGCCCCGGAGAGTGCGTGCTTATCGGAGCCACAAGAAAAGCGCTGTATCCCCTACCGGATCGGCCACCACAGCGAATTTGCCAGTCGACAACAACGACCGAAGTGATGCGCTACCGTACCACTAAGCCGACAATAAACCATTAACGAACAACAGTGAAACGATGGACAACAGCCTATCGCGTCGAGGAAAATTGACCTGCTTTTGGTTTCCTGTTCAACAATGCCTCCGACAAACAAAAACCCTAGACCATGGCGCTTCCAGCGACGGCAACTCGGATTTTCATGTGAATCAACATCGTGGATGTAAACCATGCATGCAATAGAACTGATATAGTCTCTAACAGGGTTACGCATACCTATCTTATTAGCGTGGTTTGGTGACTTTCCGCCACTTCTAGCTAGAGCAAAATCTAACGGTCCACTCATGGATCTCGTGTAGTATCCACATTAGAGAAGCTGACCCTCGTCATGATATTGCCCAAGAGCGCTGCACGAAAGAGGGGCAGAGTATACAGTTAGCTAGCTTATCTTTCCCTTGCCCATAGCATACAAACCACTAAAACCAACGTCGTGGACTATAGGCTCCAGCATGCCACTTCATGGGTACTCTACAGTACTCCACGAGGCTACCTTGGCATTCAGCTTCCAAGTAGCCACCTTCATGACTACTCTTCAACACCGCAGCACTCCACGAGGCTACAGTTTGCAAAAATGTTCAAATCTCCAGCCAGAGCTCTAGAGCAGAGTGCCTCTGGAATGGAGCCCGTGATGGCAGTTCCAGCAATGTTTAGTGAAGTGAGGCTAGTCCAAAGACCAAGCTCCGAGGGAATGGCTCCAGTCATCCTGCAGCAAGAGTTGGAAGACGTTTGGTGAGACAACCAACGGTGACCCTTTAATTGCAGTTGACAGTCAGTTTTATCAGGCACAAAACTTACCGGCTATTGGATTCGATATCAAATTCCTGGAGTTTTGTCAAGCTGCCATACTCAGAAGGGATGCTTCCCACATGATCACACTTGGAAGAGTAGTGAGTGAGGTTTTTGCAGTTGGTCAATGCCCAGGACAGTTCTCCGTGATAGTCGTTCAATGAGTTGTTGAACACTTCAAGTGCTGGGACGACCAGATAGAATAATCCAGATGATCCACCTCCAGAAAACCAGTTTCCATCAGTTCGTACAACACGCAGCCCGAAAGCAGTCCAGATTCCGTTTTTATAACTGAATCCCTTGAAGTCGTTGTGGGAAATGTCTATTACCTCTATCGCTGGGTTTTGGCCAATATTAGGAGGATTACCCCAGAGGGAGTTGTTGGCAAGGTCGATTACCGTCAATTCTAGCAGGTGATCATTAAAATCAGTGAGATCTCCATGCAAATTGTTGGAGGACAGATTCAAATTGACAAGGGATCCCTCTTCGTCGCATGTAGGGTCAAGATCGCTGGAAGAATACCAATCACATTCTGAGACGTCATATTGGAGCCAATGGTCGGTCCTTGTCCAGTTGTGACCATTCGCAAAGTAAAATAATGCAACCAAATGAAGTCGCTGCCCCTTTTGTTGATCAGTATAGGTTTCGAGATGAGGGTCTTGAAGCATCCAGATATTGGCCATATAGTATGGGCTTGAAACGGCAGAAATTTGTTTGACTAATGCAAGGGGTAGACCGTCCTGATATGGAGGATAAACAGTGGGCGTGCCCTCATCGAAAGGGGCGGATGCATCATCGGGGTCATTCGTTTTGGATTGTCTGGGCAACAGCAAAGCGGTCATGGTGGCGGCGGCCACACAAAGAAACAAGCACATCAATGCAGCCCAACTCTTTTTGCGGCTTCTTTGGCCACTCTCCTCCTGCAAGATGGTGCCCTCAATAAGCTCTCTCTGCGGTATCGTTGATTCAGGTGGCTCATCCTCCACAACGAAACCATTGACGATTCCTAAGTTTTCTTCATCCACAACAAAAGATTGGTCCTGCGATCCTGCTGATGACGCATCACTGGATGTCACTTCATCATCAGTTGGTGTACCGGTGTCTCGACCTGGCCCTTCAACGGCCTGTGCACCCGGCTGAACATCCCTGGCGACAGTGTTTGCCCTGGTCAACAACAAGGGAGGTGCCTCGAGCGTGTCACCCTCATCACCACCCTCATCGCCACCCTCGATTGCAATCTTTACATGATCAGCCTCAAATTCCCTAGTGTCCTGGCTATCCCTTGGATCTTTCTTGCTACCCTCGCCTTTCAACCAGATGTCTGGTCTCTCTGCCACCATCGAAACCAACTTTTGGGTGCTAGCATCCACATCGAGATGGCTATCCATAACCAACTCCGCCACGTTCGAATTGGCATCCACAGTAATTTCCTTTTCTGAGGCTCCATGTGTGGAGTCTCTCACACTTCCGTCAGGCATTTCCTCGAGCTCCTCAGAAGAGTCTCTTTTGGGTGCCTCCTTACTGGGCTCCATCGGGCTCAGTTATCTATTATAGCAGTGAAAAAAGTGAACATGCTTTCATGATGGAGACACTTATCTTTTTAGACTTGAGAGGGGCGGTTCTTTTATCTACTTCTCATGTGAAGTGCACGTACTCGCACACGTACTAGTACTAGTAGTTCTACTTGCAGATTGCACAAACCAGTTGCTGCCAGTTCAATGTGGCAATCCTCAATGTCATGCCCACATGCCCGTCTATTCGTTGTTCCACGATCCAGCTTCTGCCAGTTTACAGTACTGTATCAGGAAGACAACTCGAGTAGATGCGGTAAAATAAATTAAGCTAATAAACGTTAACCCTTTATTTACCGCAACTACAGCTCTTGAGCTCTCTTCCAGCTTCGAGCTGATCCAGAGAAATAAAAGCTGATCTCCGTCCTCGGTTGATATATCAATCTGTGCTAAAAGAGTAGTAAGAAGCTTTTGGGTACAGTACAAGTATGCAGTATGCATAGTGGGGGCTCATGCATTTTTTTACGGAACCGGCACTGAACCGGTACCGGTAAAAGTACACTTCACCCCAAGCTGCGAGTACGTGGTTCCCATTTCACCATCTATCAGTATGAAGTCAGTACTAGTAGCTAGCAGAGGCAACATGGGTTGGATTTCTACAAGACGACTTTTGAAATGGTTGTTGGCTGCAAGGAAGTTGTCACAGACATACGGTACCACTTTCTGTTTTTGTTTGATATCGTGGCCTGCCTGACATGAACTGTGATAAGTACTACGACTTCTGTTCTTGTTTGTTGTTGGATGTTGTGTTTGGTTGTACTGTTGTTTTGATGTGCCATGGTGGAAGTGGTTTTGTTTGCAGGAGCCCACCCTGAATCTGCAAGAGTTGCAAAACTCCGACAGTGCGTTCCCAGTACAGTGTACTGGTCTACATGACAACTCGTTTTTCAGACCAAAACTACAACACAGAGAGCCTAGAAATACCAAGCTGATCACGAGAATCGAATCACCAAAGACAATGATCCCAACCTGGAACGAAATCTGCTGCGCCTGCCGACGCAATCCAAACAATTAGCCTAGCCCAGCACTGATGAGTCTGACAGACGAGACGAAAGAGTCAAGCCAAAACCAAAATGTTACGCGTCGTGGCCTGAGAAGAACTGTGATAAGTAGGACTGTACAGTACCGGTACCTCAACTGATTCCGCCAAAGAAACCAAGCTTCTAAAGACCTAAGCACGATGAATTCGCCCGAATGATATCCAGGTATTATTACGGTGCATGTTTGTATGTATGTGTAAAAACTGAAGTGTTAGTTTTGCGTTAGTGCCGGTTTGTGAAAAACAAAATGGTAGGTGAATGAAGGAATGATTGAATCCAATCAAAAAAGAATGGATGGAACAAACAACATTGAGGTGAATGGGATTGGATAGATCAAAAAGAGAACATCATTGTTGGGTATCAAAATGGCGTAAAAAAGGCGGTGTGGGTGTATATGTAGATGTGAAAACAAAAGTTTTGGCTTGCTTGCTTGGTAAAAAGTCGTTGGCATCGTGAACAGAAATGCGTGATCAACACAAAAAGAAGCTGCTGGATGGTTTGGGAACCTTTACACACAACGATTGGTGACAGCCAAGGACGCGACGGTTTGAGCATGGTACCGTTCGTGTACGTGGTTCTGGATGGCCTTTGCTCCATAGACATTTCCCCTACGGTGAAGATGTTTGCCCAGATATTGCATGGAGAATAGGACATCGGGATGATCGGGCCCCATCATGGAAGATAGCAGTCGAATGGCTTGGAGACGCGAACGGCTCTCGGGGTCGAGTTCCTGAGGTGGGGTATTCGACTGTGTGGCCAGAAGGCTTTCTAGCACAAGATCCGGACGGGTGGGATCGACGGATTCCGTGGGAACCATTTCGTGCGGTTCTTCTTCTTTTGGTTCTGGCTGTAGTTGAGGCTGAGGCTGTGGCTGAGGCTCTGTTGTAGGGACGACAACGTCAAAAGGAAGCGAACGTTGGAGTTCTCGGATTCGCCGGATGCGCTGTCGGTGGTCTCTGGCTCTATTTCGATGTTGGGTATTGGAATGCTCCGAGAGAGAGGACATGTCATCTTCCAAAACGATGGATTGCCCATTATTGCTGTGGCGTCGTCGCAGTGGATCTGTGTTGCTACTAGTGTTTTCCATAGATTGAGACTCGGATCGAGTGATCGCGGGCTTTCGACTCGAGGATCGTCGAGGGCTTCGCAATGACACGGGCCAGTGAGGCCACCTGCTCTTGTCGTTGCTTGACACCACAGCTACCTTCTTTAGTCCATTGTTGTCGCCATCCGCCGTCTTTCGGGAAAAGAGATTAGGATACCTCATCTTGGCATTCTAATATATTTTCCGACAAAGCAACTACAACACAACAAAAGCTCGCCACTGTTGCTTCTGCGGGGATACCTCTGTTGGGGCTGAGCTGGTGCCAAGTGCCAAGAGAACCGAAGTTTGGGAGTTACGGCGTCCAAGCCAGAAGCGATGCGAAGCTAAACAACTTCATCAGCTTGGAACTGGGGGAAGCCTGACCTTCAGGCCCTTTACCTGTTCCAGAAGGCTTTCAGAGAAGAGAACTAATCTACAGTTGATAACTCTTTTTTCCTAATGCAATTGAATCCATTGACGCTGTCTAACTCGTTTCTTTTGGTGCCTAAGATATTTTGGAACCAAGACACCATGTTCACGGCGTCATCTCGCAGTATCAAACAAACAGTATGAAGCCGAAACTGCAAAGCCTTTACCAAAAGAAGCAGAAGACCATCGAATTGAATGATGAATCAGAACACGTCGTGTCAATCGATGTAGTAACTCCATCCTTACGGCATGTGACACAATACTGCAGTACTGCTGCTCATCGCGTATCGCGGACTCGACTCACTCCTGTGATTTGGCGCTGTTTCCAGTGCAGCACTTAGCTAGCTAGTACAGCTAGAAACTGTACTAGTAGGGAGCAAATCCTTGGCTGAGTTTCCCATTTGTGACTGTGAACCCTGTGGGGCGCATTTGACTGGTGACTTTTGGCGGTACTGATGCACTCGAACGTGTGCAAATAGATTCTTGAATCCAGACTAGCTTAACCCTCCTCCTTCTCCCCTCTGGAGCCCCTTGAACTAATCACTTTTGGGGGTACCTTGGCATTCAAAACATGTGCAACTAGATGCCTTTGTCCAGACTAGCTTAGCCCTCTTCCTTCTCCCCTCTGGAGCCCCTTGAACTAATCGTTTTTGGGGGTACCAACGTTCTTTGGCAACTATTTCTGTTGATTGGGTCGGGTCCGCCTTCACTGACACAGAAGGAAAAGTCATAGCATGGTACATTATGCATTAAAAGTAGAATAGATTGTCCATTGCAGCTATTGCCAGGTTGGTTTCTTTGTTTGACTGCGGCGGCAGTGTCGTTTTTAAATCTCTATCATATCCGCCAAATTTTCTGGATCAGCTGTAGCCTGCGCAATCATTTCCTGGCCATCCATAGAAAAGTGATCCTCAATAGCTGCCAGGACTTCCAAAGATCGCTGGTCACCAATAAGATTGATTGCTGTTCCCTTCCTTCCAAAACGACCTGTTCGCCCAATACGATGCAAATATGTCTCGAAATCTGGCATTTGATCCTTGTCCACAGGAACATCATAATTGACAACCAAACAGACATTGTCTACATCCACTCCACGAGCCAAAACGTTGGTTGTAATGAGTACATTGGATTCACCATTTCGGAAGGCAAGCATTGTGGCGTCACGTTCTGCTCCGTCCACGCCTCCGTGCAAAACAGAGCACGTGTACCCAGAATCCGACAAGGTTTGATGAACAGTGTCAGCGTCACGTTTTGTTCCAACAAACACAATGCTCTGCCCGATAGTAAGGAGTGAATAAATATCTGCCAAGAATTCCAATTTTCCTCCGTTGTAATCTCTCGTGTCCACCCACAGCTGTTTGATCACATCCACAACCTATCGAAACCAATATAAAGGGGGATGACAATGTCTGTGAGAGCAGCGCCCAAGCTTTTTGCCTCTTGCGGTGATGCCTGCCATCATGTACGTACCAAAAACTCGTCACCTTCTTCAATCAAAATTCTATCCGGATTATCGACCATCTTTCCAGCAAATGTAACAACCTCTGGTGGAAAGGTGGCACTGAAGAAAAGACTCTGACACTTCTTGTGCAAATTCTTCTTAATGAGCAATGAGTTGGCACGGTGTCCTCCCTCCTCAATCATCGAATCAGCCTCGTCCAAAACAAACACTTTAATAGTCTTGGCGTTGAAGAGTCGACGTTTCATCCAATCTACAACCTTTCCTGGTGTACCAATGATGATGTGTGCATCACACTTTTGTCCCTTTTCGAAATGAGTGCCAGCCACAGCCAGCTGCACTTTCAAGCCAGCCATGTTGGCCGCCATTGGCTTGACTGCCTTTTCAAAAATCTGAATGGCTAATTCTCGTGTAGGGGTAACACAAAGCGCCTGAGTCGATGCGGGTGCATCCACGTCAATACGGTAGAGCATTCCAAGAGTAAAAGCAGCAGTTTTTCCACTACCAGATTGGGCTTGCCCAATCACATTTCGTGGGGGATCTGCCAAAATTCGAGGCAATGCTTCCTCTTGAATAGCTGAGGGCCGATCAAAGCCCATGGTGAAAATGGCATCCAGCAAGTGTTTGGGTAGATTGAGGTCTTGAAACGTCTTAACTGACGACAGATGCGAATTGGTGTCCGACTGAATAACCTTGAGTCGATCGCCCTTGTTTTGTTTTTGTCGCTCCAGAGCCAGCTTTTGCAGACGTTTTGTTAATTCGTCGCTTTCATTGGTGCTTGCGGCGCTGGGTCTGGCAGCCTTGAGAGAGCTGCGTCTTGTCTCTGCATCACCGACAGTTATAGATGTCCGTTGGCTCGGTGAAGCAGCAGAGGAGCCATTGCCTTCTCCTCCGCCTTCTGCTGCTTCTGCGTCGTCCTTCTCTTCTCGCTTGACCTTGTTGATCACGTTGTCAGCCTTGAAGAGCAGTGCTGCTGCCTGATTACGAATCTTCTCTCGAAGACGTGCCTTGACTTCATCTGCATCCTCCGCCATTATTGATTAAGATAATTAATTGCCGAGGTATAAAGTGCTACTCGACCGAGTTTATTGTTGCTTTCTGTGATTGCTATCCACAAGCCAGACACATCAATCTCTATATTATTGGAAGCAAGTTGGGATGCCTTGGTGGACAGTGTCTTCTTCCGATTGATTGAGACTTGCAGCTGAGGGGAGGACTCGACTGTCACTCGACTTGACTCTGTTGCCGCTGAAATACATCGTAAATGGTGGTGCCAAGAAAGAACGGATGGATGATTCAATCACGTGGTTTCATTACTTCGTAACTCCATCCTTATTGTACCGTACTGGTAGCCCGCCCCAAAGATACTGAAAAGCGGATCGCGAACTCACTGCTGATCCAGCAAACTGGACGATGGACGATCGAGATGGCAGCCATCATGCTCTGGTCCAGTTGCCGTCGTACACTTCATGAGAGAATCTGTGTATTATAGGTGCTTCCTTTCTGTGAACAACATCAACAATAACAATGTTGGCAAATATTGTTATTCAAGAACTCTGCAGCGTGGGGTCAATCCCTTCATTTCGCAAACAATCCATCACTACAAGCAAGCTCATCAAAGTAGCTTTGATATCCAGAACATGCGTCATTCTGGCTATGGCAGCATCTTGTTGGCTCTTTCCAAATCACAATCCTGGGGATGACGTCTTTCGATTTTCTCTGCGATTTCCTTCCCTGCACAACAACGACAACAATACTTGTTTCTGTTTGAAGGGACAGGCATGTGATCCCCACTGGAAACAACAACACAACAACACCACCATTCAAACAAATCATGCATGTGTAGACAGTTCCTTATTGCAAGGGAAAACAACAACTTCTGCCTACACTGCTATTGTCTACGAGTTCCTGCTGACGCCCATGACCCGGTGGGATTCCGCTCGATTCCTCGATCTGGCTACCTATCCGGCACGACGAGATCCGCATCGGTACTTGAAAAAGATCTTTCCACAATGCATCGATGATAATCCACCCAATGATACCGCTGTTGATGAAGCTTGTAGGGAGCTATTTCTACCCACGGAACAAGCTCATGCCTTTTTTCCACTCTTGCCACTGGTGATTCGAACCATTGCCAAGGCACTGTTACGGATCATGCCAACAATACTATTGCCGCCAACCTTTGAAGGAGTCGTCACGTTGGCAGCACTTATATGGAATCTACTGTGTTTCATCGGAGCCTCGTTGGCACTCTACGACCTCACGTGGAACCTCACACAGCAGCATCTCAAGACATTCATACCGGATACACCCGAACAGAAACTGGCACCCAACTATTGTCAACAACTGGCGTATCAAGTCTTCTTGATCTTTTGTATCAATCCAGCCAGTGTCTTTTTTGTCGCTGCCTACTCGGAATCCACATTTGCACTCTGCAACTTTGGTGGGCATGCCTTGTTTTTTCGACTTCTCCGTCGCATGATGATGCAGCAGGTATTACAGCAACCCACCGCCTCGGCAATTCGCTTGACGACCCTGGCACTGTGGATGGCGGCATCCTATACACGATCCAATGGAACTCTCAATTCGTGTTGGCTGATTCTGTTGGGACTGGGTCTGGTTTGTCATCACTACTGGGCAAATGCTAGTAATCGCCGTGGCAAGGCTATCACGGGGTTGGTGGTGTGTGTCTTTTTGGGTTTTGTGGTGGCGCTTCCTGTATATTGGCATGACAGTGCAGGGTATCAGCGTCATTGCAATATCGCTACGGATGGTGAGGAAGATGCTTGGCTAGTGCCCCAGTGGTGCCACCACAATAATGAGGACAACAAGAGATTCTCGCTCTATGGGCACATACAACGGCAGCATTGGAATGTGGGGCTGTTTCGATACTACACGTGGAAAAAGATTCCAAACTTTCTCTTGGCAGGTCCCATCTTACTCTTGGGCATTTCAGCAGTTATCGATTGGATTCAGAGTAGCTACTGTCGGTTCTTGCTCAAACAAGCACAACCAACCTCGGGGAAGAGCACGGTTGCGAGTATCATTGGCTGGGCAATATCTTCCCTTGGAGCTTCGGTTGCATTCCAGAATGGAAAAACGCAACACAGTGATACGTCACCACAACAGACACAACCAAGTGCTTCTAATATGTTGCAGCAATTGCTGATGGGCCCAATCATGTTGGGCCACTATGCTGTGTTGGCTTCTGTTTGCACCGTGGGGTTGACGGTAGCACACGTGGAAATTACAACACGAATGATTTGTTCAACCTGTCCGGCAATCTACTGGTACATGACGTTCTGCTGTTGCTCTCACAAGGAAGAAATGGGAAGCGATGATGCCAGCCGTCTCCTGGCAAGAAGAATACCACTTCTGGGCAGACCATTGGTGTTCTTGTATTGCTTGCTATATATCTTGGCAGGAGTTGTGATGCATCCAAATTGGTTGCCCTGGACTTAGACTAAAACTGGAAATGGGGTGCTGATCTGACCAACAATAAACTGCGTTCTAATAGCACTAGTGCTGACAACTTGTAATGCAAATCAATGGTTGCTGGCTGGCCATTTTGTACATCAATTGCTTCCAGCTACCAGCTACTAATAGTGCGGTTTCGGTAGTTTCTTTTCTCTTGGTCTACATGCATGGAGCCGGTCCTTCTCGCAAGCTTCTCTCAATTTGAAAGGTAGAGAAATGACGCCGCTCGCTAGCTTCAGGAGAACTGCGTCTTGTCAGAAGCATTTAGAAGCAACTTTGGGACAGAATCCGGTTTGCCTTCTGGAGAGGATGATCTAAGTCTAAGCTCTGTGACATTGAACGATTCCAGCGATTGTGCCTTCTACCAGAACTACATGCTTGTGGTGGTTGCCGTGTCGAATATCCCAGACACGATGAAGCGCAAGATCGTAGGCCGTTCCATGATAAGTGCTTCTCGCTGTCACAAGGATCCAACAACCGTCCATTCTTCTTGCCTCCCACAAAGAAACCGTCGGAATCTGCTCGCAGATCTTCATACATCATTCCATCCTCAAAGCAAAAGCCCAAAAAGTTGACCATTGCTCGTCCTTCTTTGGTTTTCGGAACTTGGACCCTTCTTCCATTGATGAACAAACCAACACATACCTGCCGAGTTGTACTCTTTCGGAACCAGCTGATATCAAACGAGAACCAACTCTTGGCAGCTGGATGCCACCGCAAGTTTAACCCAATAAAGGGCCGCTTGTCGTCCTGTCGCATGTGCTCTTGGTCGTGGAGGATACGAAAGCGGGGATCGAGTGATATCAAGGACTCTCCACCAAAAAGCTTTGTGAAATCAATAATCAAGGGCGCCCGGTCTACCAAGGATTGGGCCTTCAGGACATCATCAAGCATCGCTGGACAGTCGAGGTAGCCGTGGACCTGTTCCATCACTTCGTTTGGCAATTGTTGACAGACAGTGGTGGCGAAAACAACCTTTTCTTGCAGCCGTCTGACATGAGTCTTCAACAGTTCTTGAAGCCGGCCATCCCAGAGTCCTTCGACTGGTAAACCTTGTCCCAGAACCATTCTTCTGTAGTTGGATCCTGTTCCCAAACTTGCTCCAGGAGCCTCAATGTCTCAACCAGTCCCTTGCGAAGTGAAGGGCTCATCCAGGTTGAAAGCACTTCCAGCTGTTCTCTCCCGCTCCCGTCTCTGAGATCTATCCTTGAAAGCACGTGTGCGATAAAGGCATGATCATTCTTTATGCTCAATGGCGCCACTCTCATTGGCTCTGCCAAAGTTTCAAAGTCAAGCAAGCCACCGGGAGGGATCAAGGCATGAAATAATCGACGAAAAAAATCGCCGCAATCCCTCAAGAAAGTTGCGGCGTGGTTATGATTTTCCCATGACATTGCTACCATATCAAGGACAAAGTCAGGGAGTGATTTCAATTCCATGGATGCATATCGCAAGCAGCCTGAACTCTTGACGACCTTGGGGTCGTCGCGGAGTTGTTCAGATGCGTGTACCAACAAATTGGGGAACTCTTTGACCAGGGGCATTACAACCGATTTGTCATGCCGTTTCGAGTTGACCAGTGCCAAGGCTTCGTTCCACGGCAGTGATTGTGATGTCATGGTTGGCTCTGCCACAAATGATATGAACAAGCGAATGAGTTGTTGCAAAGTGTTGCGTTAACGAAAGAGGCTACTAGTACCAGGTACTGTACGAGTACTACCGGTATGGGTCAGAGCTGGCTGTGATGGGTTGGGATTTGACACGTTCAGACGAACCACGAAAGAACAGAGAACGAGGACTGTCACTCGTCACTCGAACTTTTTGAAAAGTTCAGTCGGGTTTAAAAAGAAGGTTTCGGAGACCGTGCTACAATGGGTGATAAATCAACTCCCATGGTTTTTCTGTCCCAAATAAATGACAGAAGGTTTTGAAATAAATTCCCAATCTCGCCAGGAGACTCACATGAGTCATCGGGCATGTTTTACAGTATGTTCTTCCTTTCTTCCGGTGTTTGGAAAACGGATGCGAACACTAGGGTACTATTAATACGGTACTCAGTACTCCTACTAGTAGTAGGAACGGTACGCTGGACCGTCCGACGTTTTCCACTCGGGCTTTAAAACTTGACACAACTGAATCCAGTACAATTAAGGGCTTGTTTTAGGGGCTTGTTTAAGGATTTGTTGAAGATTTAGGGGTTTGTTTTAAGGGCTTGTTTATTTAAAGGCTTGTTAGCTCCTGATAAGGGATTGTTCTATGGGGTTTACGTGAAGGCTTAAGGGTTTGTTTTGAGAACTTAAGGGCTTGTTGTTAAGGGCATGTTTTTTAAGGGCTTGTTGAAGGGCTTGTTGAAGCTTTTAAGGGCTTGTTTAAGGGCTTGTTTCCAGTCTTGGAAATTTGAAGTTTTTAAATCCTGAGTGAAAACCGTCGGACGGTCCTGGTCATTTGGAAAAACCGAACACTGTGCTGTACTGTAGTAGTACTTTAGACTACGTACATGTACTAGTATTTATGTACAGTACATGGAAGGCACATGCCACTTGTGTGGTACATGCAGAGTCACTCCACACTATCAAACGGCGGGCTGTTGGAAAAGTAAGTGTCACCATCATGTAAACAGTCTACTAGCTAGAGCTAGCCAGAGTCATGCTCACTTTTTTTCTCTGCGATACCGGTACTGCGATACTGCTATCCTGGTCGAATAAGAGAGAATGCAATGGAGCCCAATAAGGAGGCACCGAAAAGAGACTCTTCTGAGGAGCTCGAGAAACTGCCAGACCGAAGTTTGAGAGACTCAACACACGGAACCACAGAAACAGAGGTTCCTGTGGGTGCCAGTGCAAACGTGACGGAGCTGGTTATGGAAAGCCATCTCGATGTGGATGCTAGCACCCAAAAGTTGGTTTCGATGGTGGCAGAGAGACCAGACATCTGGTTGAAAGGTGAGGGTAGCAAGAAAGATCCAAGGGATAGCCAGGACAATAGGGAATTTGAGGCTGATCATGTAAAGATTGCAATCGAGGGTGGTGATGAGGGTGACACGCTCGAGACACCTCCCTTGTTGTTGACCAGGGCAAACATTGTCGCCAGGGATGTTCAGCCGGGTGCACAGGCCGTTGCAGGGCCAGGTCGAGACACCGGTACACCAAATGATGATGAAGTGCCATCCAGTGGTGAGTCACCAGGAGGATCACCGGATCAACCAATTGTTGTGGATGAAGAAAGCTTGGGAGTCGTCAATGGTTTCGTTGTGGAGGATGAGCCACCTGAATCAACAATACCGCAGAGAGAGCTTATTGAGGGCACCATCTTGCGGGAGGAGAGTGGCCAAAGAAGCCGCAAAAAGAGTTGGGCTGCATTAATGTGCTTGTTTTCTTGTGTGATCGCCGCCACCATGACGGCTTTGCTGTTGCCCAGACAATCCAAAACTAATGACCCCGATGAAGCATCCGCCCCTTTCGATGAGGGCATGCCCACCGTTTATCCTCCATATCAGGACGGTCTACCTCTTGCATTAGTCAAACAAATTTCTGCCGTTTCAAGCCCATACTATATGGCCAATATCTGGATGCTTCAAGACCCTCATCTCGAAACCTACACTGAAAAACAAAAGGCGCAGCGACTTCATTTGGTTGCTTTATTTTACTTTGCGAATGGTCACAACTGGACACGGACCGACCATTGGCTCCAATATGATGTCTCGGAATGTGATTGGTATTCTTCCAGCGATTTTGAGCCAACATGTAATGAAGAGGGATCCTTCGTCAATTTGAATATGTCCTCCAACAATTTGCGGGGAGATCTCACTGGTATTCATGATCACATGTTGGAAATGCAGGTATATGACCTCTCCAACAATTCCCTCTGGGGTAATCCTCCTAATATTGGCACAAGCCCAGCGATCGAGGTAATGGACGTTTCCAACAATGACTTCACGGGATTCCAAAAATTCAACGGAGGCTTTGTTGCTTTCGGGCTGCGTGTTCTCCGACATGATGGAAACCGGTTTTCTGGTGGCGCATCATCTGGATTATTCTATCTGCTCGTCCCGGCGCTTGAATGGTTCAACAACTCATTGAACGACTATGATGGGGAACTTCCCTGGGCATTGACCAACTGCAAAAACCTCACCCACTACTCTTCCAAGTGTGATCATGTGGGAAGCATCCCACCTGAGTATGGCAGCTTGACAAAACTCCAGGAATTTGATATCGAATCCAATAGCCGGTATGTTCTTTTTTGTGCCTGATGCAACTGGCTGTCAACTGCAATTAAAGGTTCACAGATCGGTGTCTCACCAAACGCCTTCCAACTCTTGCTGCAGGATGATTGGAGCCATTCCCTCGGAGCTTGGTCTTTGGACTAGCCTCACTTCACTAAACATTGCTGGAACTGGCATCACGGGCACCATTCCAGAAGCCCTCTGCTCTAGAGCCCTGGCTGGAGATTTGAACATTTTTGCAAACTGTAGCCTCGTGGAGTGCTGCGGTGTTGAAGAGTAGTTGTGGAGTACTGCAGTGTTGAAGAGTAGTCATGAAGCGGGCCAACTGGAACTGTGCAAAACCCATTTTATTCTCATACAATTTTAAAAAAGCAAAAAGCATAAAAGCATAACCGTGCAGGATGTCTTCCTTGTGGTGGCTCATAGCTTTTGAGGGTGGTCATCAGCGTTTTGCAGCTCGTGCACCTTTTGAGAGCGAGGCAACGGCCAGCGTAGAGATGGATTTGCTCTGTCACACACAGGAAAAGCACTCTCACGTTTTGCTGCATTTGATAGAACAGCAGCTGCACGCTAAATGCGCCTGAAGGCTCAGTCCTCTCACCTCGACGGACCCCATGATCAGATACTTACCGTATTTACGGCCATCAGACGAAGATCATACGATAGCAACAAGTGACTGAAGTAGACTAAGTATGTTGTCTGTATATGAATGTTCTAACTTTCTTTTGTGTGTTCTAACTATGATACTCACGCATGCCGTATACTCGTACAAACTCAATCGGTGGAACCTCACCAATCAACCAAAACGTTCGACACAGGAAAAATGCCCGCCTCCAAGAAAGGACATCAACCTGGAAGGTGTATTCGTAGTCTAGTTGGAACTTGAAGACACGACTTGCAGGTGGTTGTATTTCAACTTGAGGACAAACTGGAGAACCAATCCCTCGACCCGTGCTAGGCGACGTTCTAGCTCTACGTCGTAGTCATCCTCGTCTTCATCATCTGAATCTTCCTCCTCAGCTGGACTATCACTGGGTTGAATGATATTTCGACATTTGGCTGTCAATTCATCATCTTCATCCAAATCTGGTTGCAAATGCCAGGGTAGTTCTTCGTAGTCTAGTTCATCCCAAGGAATTTGATCGTGCGGTTCGGCCACGTGCTTATCATCCCGCACAGCCAGGGCGGCATCTTCTTCTTGGACAAACTCGAGCATGTCTGTGACGAGCGTTTCTTGGAATCGAACACCTTTCGTTGCACCACGTTGGATTCGTCGTTCTTGCTTGAGTACCAAATCGACCGCTTGGTGCCAATCGTTGGTAAAATCGCGAAAAACCCTCTCGTCCTCTTCCTCATCTTCCTCTGTGCTGCTACTACTCTCACTGGTTTCCGCCGTAAAAGCCGCCGATGAGTCCTTTTCCTTAAAGAGCAATGCGTCGTCGTCCTCTTCACTGTCGGTACCATCACCAGCGCCCAATCCTGACAAAAGGCCCCCCTTTTTGGGTGACTCCTTGTATCGGACGCCATCGACTTGTTCCAAAATCTTGCCCACAGGCGTGGCACTCTGTTTGCTGCGCTTGTAATTGCCCAATTGAAAGAAGCTCTGTTCGCTTTCATCCAAATCCTCCGTACAGACGCTGCTACTGCTGTCATTCCACGCAAACTTGAAATTGCTATTGCTATTGCTGTTGCTGCTGCTGTTGTTGCCTCTCCTGGAATGGTTGCGACCCGACGAGGACATGCCGTCGTTCCAATTCAACTTGAAATTCGCATTCTTGGTGTTAGCGCCTCCTCGACGACTGCTCGACATGCAAAAGCTCACGGAAATATTCGAGCACGACATCATGCTGTCGTCCATTTCAGACTCGCTGTCGTCCAAGAAGTATCGTGGTCTCGCCATGGTGTGTTGGAGTTAGTTAGTTTGTTAGTTGTGTTGACGGGGATGGGAGGAAACACGACGGAAGTGATAGATTCGATTTGCAATGAGAATGAGGAAGCAAATTGCCAATTTGTGGACACTTTGATGAGAGGTTCTGTTACGGAAGTGGTTGAAGTGCGCCAGTGGCCGCCAGTTTGCGGTTTCGAAGCCTCTCTAAGAGTGGCAAGATTCTGGGTCATTTGGCTCTTAATGCTTCAAATCCAACCACTCCACGTAGTCATATTACTAAGTCTATTAGACCCCCAGTGGTCATTTGGTAGCTTACTGGAGCCTTCATGGTTTAACCAAAAGCTGGATCCGAGCCACAGCAGAGTTTGGGTCACCTATGAACGGAGTATACGTATGAACTGGTACAGTCGTACCGTACGGTACCTAGGTACTCGTACAGTGTGAGCACTAGAATATTCATGTTTAAGTAGATGAGGTAAATATATATGAAATGAAAGTTATTAAAGGTCATATTAGCTATTAGTTAATAGTACCTCAACCTCCAACTCAATCAGTTCATGCACCAGAGCACGAGAGCACGTGGGTGCTAATTATTGTTTAAGCCAGTGGATCTGGATGCTCCCAAACGCGGAAGGAAATAGCTTTCGCTGGCTATTTAAAAAAAAATTTGCCGTGTCCACGCAGTCATCACGCGTACTAGCTTGCAGCCAAGACTCTAAGCCAGCGGGGCAGTTATATCTGCTTGCTGGCTGGGTCTGACTTGCCATCCTGTAGACTGGTTGAGGTCAGTTCAGCCAAGCAGAACACCCACTGTTTGGTTTTCTGATGCTGGATTACCACCAACAGGCTTCTGGACCATGGAATATTGCTTTTTTTGCCGTCCATGGTCCTTTCCTCTTTATGGTGCCTTGCGCCCATGTGCCACGCATAGTCGTGGCCGTGGTGTGTGAGTTTCACCGGACCCTGTGTGTTTAGACCACAGGTGTTTCCCGTCACTAGTGACCCATGGGCGCCCTCAGCGGCTTTACCCACTCTCCTATCACTCTTAAGAGTTGTGTAGACCGCTATCGGTCGTAAAGGAGCATGCCTATATTGGCTTTATCTAGTCTATGACTACCTCGGTTTTTAGCTTTGCGCCCGTCGCGGAGCCGTATCCCCGTCTCCAGCGCCATTGCTGCTTGGTATTGCGTGTTGGTCTCGTTCCTGTTATTGAAGCGATACCACTCCCAACCGGGACTTCTGATTGCCGTTGTGTACCGGCGGCCAAATTTTGGTGACTCGCCTCGCGCGTGGGCAACGCGACTTAATTACTCCCCGCGCTGTTAAGCCCTTTCATACCCGTTTCGTGCCCACCGGGCGAGCTTTCCCCGGCCACCTTGATCGTCCACCATCTACCCTTTCACGAAATTTGAGATGAACGAGGGGACTCCTAGGCCTACATTACAATGAGTGTATGGCTACCCTCCAAACTTTCATCCCAATCTTGATGAGTCTAATTTGTGGACCTAGTTAACTTTATTGAGCAGGGCTCTCGAAATTTCCCGGGTGAATTCTGCCCTGCCCTTTCAGCCTGTGAGTTTCAATGTGCTCACAAGTAGATTCCTTCCCGAATCAGTTCCTGTTCGATACCTCGAACTCTCCTTTCCCCACGCCTAGATTACCAGCATGTCGGCCCGTCAACCCTCTCTCTCGAGGGGCAAGAATGGCCCAGTCCAAACCTTCTCGAGGGCTCGAGCCGCAAATCCTGCGGTGACCAGCTCATCCATCGTACTCTCCAGCCTGGGATGAACACGAACCACCGCCAGCAGGTACTCGGAGACCATGGCACTGTCTTCCAGTTCGCTTGCGTTTGGAATGGCAAGGTGGGATTCATCACCAGGCCTACCATTGTTGCTGGGGACGGTGATGCTGGACCTCCCGTTGTTGTTGGTGATTTCACTGATGCCGTCGGGGTACCCCATACCATCACGATGGCTGTGGATGATTTCTTTGGGTTCGTTACAACCCTCGTCCCCATTGGGGATGCAACTCACTTCGGTTTGGCTGCGCACCCTACTGCTCCCGACACTGTGGCTGGCCCCCCTCAAGTTCGTCCTCAAGTTCGTATCGGCCCTGCCGAAGCAACTCGTGGTAACGACCAGTTCCTGTTGAAGCCACCTTGGCTCGCTTGAATTTTCAGGTCTCACTGAAGAACCTGCTGACGACGATTACCCACGTATTGTGGCGTTGCCTATTGTTCTGCCGGTAGCTCCTGGTTTTACCTTTGAGCACTGCTCCGACTTGGGTGGGCCCCAATCCTACCGCGATACTTTTCGTCTGTTCCACGTGTGGAGGCAGGGCATGCACTATGTTCAATCCCAGAACAACTGCTACTCTGTGACCACCGGTGGCCCGATATTCCACCTGGCTGGTCTTGCGACTGATGCTCCCAATCCTATTCGGCAGCTTGAGATTCGGCCTCGTCTTCCGGTCTCCCCACATACGGTCAACCCAGACAGCCCCCTGTATCTCTCTGCAAGGCTTCGCTTTGTGGACTGGTCAACTACCATCTGGGTGGAACTAGGAAGCAAATCGAACCAGCACCGGGAGAAGGCACCGGGCCCACCGCCGTGGTTTAAGTGCTGACCAGATCAAGGCCGTTGTTGAACCCCTTGTGAAAAGGGATAAGACATTTGGGGCAGCTGAACGAACCACAGCTCGCTTCCGAATTCTCCTTGCTGCCCTCCCTGCTGGGGAACAGATCGGTACAGCTGCAATGACTCTCCCAGACCTGAAGGAGGATTTCACGTCGTATTTGCGCTCTGGCTCTAGTTCCACTGCTGGCGACGACCTCCGTGAGCTGATCAAAGCTCGACTGGTGATGGCTAACGCAAGCGACCGAGCAGTTGACACAAGCGTCACGTTCAGGCCTGACAATGTCACTTTGGCTTTCAGTGACCGCATCCGGACCTTTGCCTGGTTGGCCGTGCGTCTCTTGTCGGCCTCCCATGCAACTGCCCGTACCAATCTTTGTCTGCTGCATTTCCTTTCTCCTGAGAGGGAGGCTCTGTCTTTGATTGCTGAAGGTGACCACCAGGCCCGAACGATTCTGATGGCAAATTCCACCAACAGCACCGCCCAAATTGAAGCCACCAAAAGCAGCCAGCTCTACACTGGCGGGACCCTTTTGAATTTCCGTCATGTGTATGAGGCGTTTTGCAACCTTAGGCTGCTGTTCTCGGTGATGATTACTGATACAAATGCACCCCTTGTCATCACCAAGATGGCGGAGTATGTGGGCTTGCTCATGGATACTGCCGGGAAAGACCTGTGGGAAGTCTACAGGAATCATCCCTACCTTGCGGTCCACCCCTGGCAGGAGCTCCAATCTATCCTTGTCGCTTTCCTGAAGCCGGCTACCAATGCTACCTTGTATGCCTCTGTCATTGCTGGGACTGGGGTGCAATACGAAAACTTCCTCGGCGCTATTGCTACTGCCGACTCCCACATCCATGACCTACGGGCCATTTTGAATGGGAGTGGTCTAGGAAAGTTTGATGGGCTCCCAACGTGTTCAACTTGGTTTCCTGCTGCACGCGGTAGAGCCCTGCCGGCCGCGGCACCACGGCATTCCCCACCTGTTCCTGGTCCCGGCAGACCGTGTTCGTGGTGGTGGGCCTGATCCCACTCCACAGAAGCGTCAGAAGACCGCCGACCCTGGCGATAACGACCGTAAGAAAACACTCGGGATGCTCACATTCGACACTGCTGTCGCTGGAACGAACCGGCTGCCAATGGTGACTGCCCGGGCTAAGAAACGTGGAGGAAAGACTCCTGAGAGACTCTGCATGAAGTTCTTGACCCGTGGGTATTTTTGCCCGGGTGGTCTCGACTGCAAAATGCCCCACATTATTAATGTGGATCAGTTGACTGCTGACAACCGAACTAAGCTGGTGGCGTTCGTCAAGAACCAGCCTGGCTTGGGTTGGGTTGCTGGCAAGGCACCCGCTGGTGAGACCTAGGACCTGGGATCACGTCCTGTTGTTTCGTTCGGGTTGTTTGCCTACTTTTCCCTTCCATTTCTCTAACTATAAACGTCTGTTTAATCCAGCAACGTCCACATCTCTATGCTTGCCTGACCGGACTCTTCGGAAAGCCCCTGGGCCCCTTTCGTACACTTGTCCCCCGGCCATGCCTAGAGTTTCCCCAGTGACAGCTGGAACCCCTGATGCGTTGTCGCAGCACTTACCTCCGCCTGGTCCCCACGTTGTCCCCAATGACGATGTCGACGACTCTGTGATTGGAGAACAGCTGGCGACCCGAAGGGCTGTGGAATGGTACCCCACGAAGTCCGTGGTCGTCAAGGACGTGGATGTGACTTTGAAGGAAGTCTTTACCCAGGCGGTACAGCGGCGTTTCCGCCACCAACTTGGTGTGAAGAACCCACTGGTCTTGGCTAAAGTTGACCAACCGTTCGGTAAGGACAATCTCTCCCAATTCTTGTACTCGACCCCTGCCCTACGGCATGTACTACTTCCTCTTTGGAAGTCTGGACTACTGGTTGTCAATGGCGACGGCTGGCGGTCCCTATGCTCTGCCTACTACCCTGCCAAGGTCCTTCAGGAGCTCCTCATGGAGTTGTGGACCATCAAGTTCCATGGGATCAGGGGATACCCTGCTGGTTGGGAGTCTGAGACTGAGCTCAACACCAACCGAGTCCGCATGGCCACTGCTGCGTTGCTCCACTTTGATGGAAGTGTTGCTGATCTGGTCCGGTGGATTGGCGGCCCCCATGTGGCCGCACACCGTGGCCATGCTGCAACCCTGGACATGCTCACAACTGCAGGTGCCACTCCTGCCGTTGTGAACAATCTCCGGCGGATTTTCTACCAAGGAATCCCCGCCCACTGCCAGGCCTTTACCACCGAGGAAAACTTTGTGGCTTACTACAAGTATGGCAATCACACAACAGTGGTGGAAGAACCTGAGAAAACTTACAAGGCCATGGTCAAGGACAACAAGAAAGGATACACCTTGGTAGTGGATCAGCGGGCAATCCTGTTCATGCTCCACTGCCACTTGACCCCCCAAGGGGGTGGTTGATCTCAACACAATGTTCAAGAACCCTCGTCCAATCTTTGACAGTAGCTTCCGGCCAACCCCCGGCAGCTATGCAATCAATGACTGGACCAGCAAAGACAATGAGCCTCCACTCACCTTCGCTGGAGCAGAATTGGGCTTCATGGTGTGGTTGTACAACCTTCGTGTGACCTACCCCCGTGAAGAGATCTATATTGCAGACGATGATGTGAGTGGGGCTTTCCGGCTCATGAAGTACCACCCAAACTGTATGGCCATGCACACAAGCATCCAGGCCGGATATGGTGTGATTAATACTGGTGGGACCTTTGGTGATAACACTTCCCCGTCCAATTGGGACACTATTGGCCAAGCCAGACGCCAATTGGCTTGGAACCTTTGGTTGGAGGATCCAACAGTGGAAGCCCGGGTTCTCCCACACATCCCACCCATTCAAATGGCTGAGGTGCCCACAGTTGTGGAGCTGGAAGCTTTCGAGCTTGCTGATGCTGATGGCATCAACTGAGGGGTATTGGGTGCAGATGGAAGTCGGCTCCCACCCCCTTACCACATGCATGTTGATGACAACTTGTATGCGGATGTCCGTGCCCATTTGGTACGGACAATCTGTGCCAGTGTTGCCTCGCTGTTTGACGTCCTGGGGCCACCTACAAACCCCCTTGTACCATCTCCACTAAGTGGGGAAAAGTTTGAATCCTGGTACAACCACATGCGCAAGCTTGTGGGCCGGCGGTTCAACTCAAGGACACTCTCTGTCGGGATGCTACCCCACAAGCGGGCCCAGTTGGTTGAGCTACTTCAGCTCTGGGCTACAAGGGTTTCTTTTGATCTCCTGGAGATTGCCCATCTCCTGGGGACCCTAGAGAATCACACGAAGTATGCCCGATGGGCCAGATGCTGGTGCTGCGCTCTCCAGAATGCGGTACGCCGTGCCCTGGTTGCCCGTTTCCACATTGTCCAACGGCGTTTCAACAGGCGTGGAAAGGAACTACACCTGCGCCGTGAGCTCCCAAGTGCCTTGCTTGGACGTATTGAGTCTCTGATCCTCCGGGAACGAGCAAAGCTGTTGTGGACAACACGGCAGCGTTTTACAGTTGACATCGATATGAAGACTTCGATCAGTCACCTCCTGGCCTACGTCCAAGCCAGTGCTGATCCTTGGGAAGTGCCTCTGGGCCTCATTGTCCCACGAGAACCACATTTCTCCTCCCGAGGTGATGCCAGCAAGGCTGGTGGTGGTGCCTACTGCCTCGAACTGCGTTTTTGGTTCGACGTCATCTGGTCCCCACGAACAGTCCGCGGCGTCCGTGATTTGGCTCCCAGTGCTGATGAGTTTGTTCATATCAACTCACTGGAGTTCATTGTGGTGGTCCTACAGTTGGCTGCCGTGATCACACGGATCCGCATGATCACTCCTGGTACAGCCCAGGTGTACTTCCCCACGGGAACCCCTTCAATCCCAGTCTGGTTTGGGGAAACGGATAATACCGTGTCCAAGTCATGGGAGAACCGTGCTACTGCACGCACTTCTCAGGGGCAGGGACTTGTCTCGGTCTATGCTGAGCTCCTTCGGGTTTCCCGGGTTCACACCCAGTGTGAACATCTGGCAGGGGTCAAGAACATTATTGCTGATGATATCTCACGCAATGACTTTTCTTTGTCTCTCCCTGCCCGTGCTGTGAAGCTGTTTCACAAGCATCCATGTCTCGAGCCCTTGGACTATTTCCGGCCGTCGCCCGAGCTGGTACAGCTCCTTACCTTGAGGCTGTACTCCAGAAACATTCCAGTACCGTGCATTCTGCCGACAGTGCTAGGACAGTTTCAGTCCGTCGGCTCCACTACCTCTGGTTCTGCTGTGCTATGAGGTGGGACGACAACTTGACCCTTGAAGGGTCTGATCCCGATATTCCTGAACGGGCCCAGTTGCAGTTCGCAATGTATGCGGTGCACCTCAGTAGTGGGCATTCCATCCACTGCAAAGCCATCAAGTCTGGGACCATCGAGCAGTATCTCCTGGCTGTGACCACCCTGATACAGAATTTTACTCAGGTGGATTACCGTAAGGACAAACCTGGTGATACGAAGCTGGGCAAATACATAACCGGTGTCATGAAAGACATTCGCAAGTACGAGTCCATGCCTGGTCGTCGTGAGCCCTATGACCACAAGATGCACTCTCTGGCTAAGAAAGTTGCCGAGAAATTCCCAAGTACAAGTCTTATCTGTGCCCTCACAGATGGGTTCGAACAAGGGATGTGTGCTGGTTTCCGCCTTACTGAATGGGCCCAGCCAGGTGGTAAAACCAACTTCACCAAGCCCCATACCAATGGGATGCCTTTGCCAGCCTGCCAGACTCGGTGCTTGGTCCCCAATGACTTTCGTGCCATTGGTGTGGCAGGTGGTCGAATGGTTGGGCTGGGAATCCTCTCTGTCCCCTGTGATTCTGTGTTGCGAATCTTTGTTAAGCTTCGTACACAAAAGAATGGCAACAATGGCGAAGAGCGGCAGTTTGAGAAGAACCCTACCCCAGGTGGGTTTTGCTTCGTCAGTTCCTCTTATCGAGCACTGCAACGTTTTGCTATCATCCAGGGATGGCACCCTGGATTGTCTGCGCAAAACACACCCCTGTCTATCTACTGGGACCCTCGTGCACATCGCCCCAAGTTGGTTGATTCATATGCCATTGAGCGATATATGCGGCGCCTTGCGTCTACGGTCTACAATCTTGACCCAGCGGCTCATGCTGCTGACATCCTCCTTTGGAGTTCCCACTCGCTCCGTATTGGAGCTTGTGTGATCCTGCACATCATGGGATTCTCCGACAGGGATATCCAATGGATACTACGGTGGAAGTCTATGACCTTTGCTACCTACTTTCGGAACGTGGCCCTACTGTCACAGCGGCAGAATGCTGCCTTCGATCGACTAATGGCTATGCCATGCCTCTAAAGTTGGTTTCCGCTTCTTTATAAAGTTTTAATTTTGAACTATACCCGGTTTCCTTTTGACCGTGCCGACCATACTGTCATGTGTTGTCATTTGGTTCTCTGCCCTGGACATTTGCGTCTTGAATATCATGCCCGTCCTCACCCAGTGGGGCTTTACGCCGCATCGTCATGGCGCCGATTACGGCGGTTGGGACGGAACGTTCCATCCCGCTCCCGTTTGCTTCCAGAACTCATCTGGAGCACGCAACCCGTCATCAGCTTCGAGACCTCGGTCGCGTTGTAACGCTTGTTCTCCTCACGGGTGCCCGTGTAGAGAACGTTCCACGCGGCGCTTGCCAACCCTTGCCCCGCCTTGGCCTTGGCTGCCGATAGCACCACCGTGTTGTCAGCCAGTGCTTGGCGACCACTTTTTGGGTGTCACCATTGGCTGGCGTCGCCAAATCCTGGCAACGCCGAGTTGGGGGGTTCTGCCCTTGAACTTGGCTTCCAGCCGATGAAACTCCCTGCCCGAGATGGACAGCAATGAACGCATTGCCGCTCGGTCCTCGGGGCCCAACACTCCCAACGGGAAAGTACGGCGCCACTGCATGAACGCAGCTTCACTCGCGGCGCTCTTGCTGCCGGTAGCACCTGCAATGAGACCCACCGTTGCTTTCATCCCAGTTTCCAACTTGGCGATGTACGCGTCCTTTGCAGCGTCGTCCATGATGCCTGCGTGAACAATACAGCTGCGTCGTTGTTAGCAAACGTCTCATTTCCCTGTTATTTCATGGTCACCAATTTCCGTCCACGTACCTGATACAGTTTCGTGCAGTATTTCTGCCGTTCCTCTGAGTTGTGCCTGAGTTTTCCTCTGCACAACGAACTTTGTGGCTTCGTGGGGTTACCACGATTCCACCCTTCTTCGTTGTACAACGGTCGATTCCCTCAGCGAAACTTTTGTTTCTCGGGAATGAATCGCCCCTGGTTTTTTTCCAGCTGTGCTGGCTAGCCGCCTCCGTGACTTATGGCGCGAACTTCTCTCCGAGCAGCGTCGCTGCTATGGCTCTAAAAGCTATGTAGTATTCTGGGTGTGTCATGCTCCCTGGGGAGATGGGAGCCACTCCTTGAGCTGTTGTACCTACCAGGCAAACCCTGTGTATGGGGTTGACGTAGTGTCATGTGAGTGCACAAGGCCCAGCCCCAGGGAGGCTTGGTGGTGGCATGGGAATGTCTGGCGAGGCGTGCTGGTCAGGGTCTGTGTGGGCAAAGATCCACCGGTGTTTCGGGTGGTGTGATCCCCTGTCAAAATGTCCGGGTGTATCTTCACGGACGGTGCCTTGGCAACCGCGGCGGCACAATAACGCGCGCGCCCGGCACGTCATCGCAGCCGGCAAAGAAGCACTAACAAATCCCTGATGCTGGGACCAACATGGGAGTGACTACATACTATGAGTCCGGCGCCGTCAGGGTGTAGATCGAGTACTGTACTGTGTGTATATAGAGATAAGGGCAGCGGTCATGCGAAGAGGAAAGCCGGCGAGTACCTTAGCAACAGACAAAAAAGCCACCCCGAGCATGTACAGAGAAGGCAGTCAATGTGGGTCTGTGT